CAGCTGTTTTGATTGATACGCGGTTCTTCTGTGAAAGTTTTAGTACAATGTTTCTATAGCTAGAGAGTAGAAAGTGAAACGAGGGTATCTCCTAGACTAATGGAAATAAATCTTTGTTATCTCGAGTGTGTCTTTCCAGTGGCGAACTGAGTTAATTAAGTCGTCCATTGCTTTCATTATCGTTGGAACGTCGTTTCCTTGGTTGCAGATGAGTTTTAAATGGTATATAGCGCATCTGTGGCACTTCAGGCGACTCCTAATGAGAGGAACATTGCTGTTTATTGTCGTTCATCATCTCTGATGATGCTCCACTACTCCCAGGCATGTTTTAATTAAGCGAGAACATGACGAAGCTTTTTTTTGTATTTGAAATAAATCCTAGACGAAGAGTATAGTTTATTAGTTGATTAGTTTATTAAAATACTAACGGTATTTTAGATTGTTTTAATTTAGAAAAATGTTCATTGAACTGGGAGCAATGTAATCCGTTTTCGTTGAATCTATTCGATCAATTTTGATTAATTTAATTGAATAACTCGATTAGAGCTATACCTTTATTATAATTAAATGTTTCAAAATCATTCCAATTAAAAGAATTATCCTACTTTTATTAAAAATTGTTCCGTACTTTATTGCTGATCGCGTTTTCACTGAGAAGAAACTTCGAAGTTACAACTTTAATCGAACAAAAACTACACACTGATTATGAGACATCATTTTCTGCTATTTCATCGTCTCATGACAGTTCTAGGGGGCATTGCACTGATTGAATGTATTACTTCTTGGTTTCTAGAACTTCAATTGAATTATCATTAAAATTCAATCAAATATGTAACACATTTGAAATATATAATGCGTCAATTCTATTAATCATCTATTAATCAGAATAAGAATACCATTTATCTTGGATTATTATCGTTTCTTATCAGTTCCAAAGGAATTTAAATTGTACACAAGTTATTGCAGTTCTATTAAGCCCATGCTTGAAGAGACTATGAATTCCAGCTACAGTTGCGTTGCTCTTTAGTGTTTGCTAAAGATAGTCGTTATCAAACATTCAATATTAGTACTCGCGAACTAGAACAATTCCACACGCCGTATGATATAATATCTCAAACAATAGAACATACAACTTCGTTTGCGCATCGAATGAACAAACAGCATACGAAGATCTCTTCAAATTGTTTACATATTAATACCTATAATTTACCAGAAATAAAAGAAACTGAGAAATAGAGAAGAAATATTTAATGTATGCTTAAAAGAAATAAATAATACTTAGATTTGTTAAATTTATTTGAAAATTTTCATTACGTGTCCGATACGATATTATAATTTAATCGTTAATATCATCGTAGCAACGATCATATCAACAGCGTCACGTAGCTCTACTATCTCTGCTTTCTAACCAAATCGCCGTGTGGTCGTGAAAGTGTTAATAATAATATTAGAACGTCCCGTGAGTTCGTGCCATGGCATGTTTATAGATTTCGCGTTACGTGTTGCAATCACAGAGCAATACGAGAACTTGGTGCAGAATCTGTAATTTATTTAGCCCCAAGATTCCTATTTGGGACATTGCATTTTTCTGCAAATCAATTACAAATTTTGTACAATAATAAAATCTTGCAGCACCATTTCTGCACACGGCACACTCGTTATTGTTCCCGTTATCACTGACATCTCGATATCAATGCTTATTTCGCAATAGAGAGAAGTGGTTGCATCACGTTTATAAAATACATTAATACGTTTAAATACATAAATACGTTTCGTTTCTAGAGAAATTAGGTTCTTAATGGGTTAAGAATGCTTCGAAAACTTATGCTTCTGTTTAGTTGGTAGAAGTTATAAGAGTTCGGTATTTAATTCTATATTTAAAGAATTCGATATTTAATTTTATATTTAAAGAATTTGATATTTAATTTTATATTTAAAGAATTTGATATTTAATTTGATATTTAATTTTATATTCAAAGAATTTTATATTTAATTTTATATTTAAAAACTTTTCTGTTTAATTTTTCATTTAAAGACTTTCACATTTGATAAAATATTTCATATATGATAAAAAAAATAAATGGCACTACCAAATATAAAAATTGCGGTCCCGGCCGCAAGGGATTAGAAGAATAATTATCTCCCGATGGAAGTTCATGGGAGGCTCCATTCTCTCCGCTATTCCAAGGCGCTTTTCTCTGGAGATCTTGTGATAACACGTGCGCCAGCAGGAAAAATTGGCTCGTCGCGCGTCGGAGGCGTTCTCTACGGTAAACAGTAAACAGCTCGCGCACGGGTTAATCATCATTTGCATGTGCACAGACACGACGAGCGTTCCGCGAGAGTCGTCGCATTGTCACCGGCGAAAATGCGGTAACCTTTCCGGTGAGCGCATAATCGCCGGTAGTTTTCCAATCGATCAGTTACCTATTTTGATGATAATTTCGTAATTACTCGGTACCGGATATGCACATGGCTGCAGCAATTCTAATGCGTCAATGAACGGGGACCGATTGTGATTACCATCGCGTGTCATCGTGCCAATATGAATGATTTAACCCCTTCTCCTGTAGCATCGACTCAGGCCGGTGATGGTAATTTTCAACTAAATTTGGCAAATCTAAATATTGTACAGTTTACTTTTCGTATAGATGATATATTTGTTTGTTGCCGATATTTAAGGATTTAGAGGAAACTTTAGAGAATATACATGAAATTTTATTTTTCTAGTAAATTATTAATAATAAAGTGTGGTTTTGTCAAGCACAGTTGCGAAAGAAATAATAGGACAGTGTATAATAATCTATTTTTAACCTTCTCTCCCATAGTATCGAGTCAGGCTAATAATAATAATTTTGAACTGAAATTATCAAATCTAAATATTGTTCGGTTTACTTTGAATAAAAATGAATGATTGACTTGTCTATTATCAATATTTAACATCAAAACTGCCGAGCAATTTACGTGATTTATTTTCAACTGATTATTCAGTATTCGTAATTAATCAGACTAAAATTACTCGTCATTCCACTAATCTCACGTCAAAATAATCGTGTCTATTATGAATATAGTTTAATTCATAATGTTGTTATGTGTAGTTCATTTATGATTTGTATCATTAATTTGGAAAAGAAGATCATTATTTACATATTGCGAGTGGATAATGTTTTCATGAATAATAATGGAAATATTCGCACGAAATGGTAATCTTTGCACGAATAAAATATTATTGCTAAAACGAATGAAAAATTCAACAGAAAATTTGAGCAAAGAATCAGTATTTACGAAACTCGTTATGGAAGATGTTTCTTTTTAAACTGACCTACATAAAACAGCTGATGCCAGTGGGAGAATTCTTCGATTACGTTTTCATGAATGAAAATAGCCGGACACACGTTACCACTTTGTGTTAGCTCAAAACGTGGACTGTTCTATTTGCGAGGCGGTGTTTGCTTTTGGCATTGGTCGCTTGATTCTAAAAACTAGAGCCGAACAAAAACTCGTTGTTCGTGTTAAGTGTCAACTAAATTGAAAAGTTGTTTGAAACTGTACTAAACCGTTTACTGAATTGACTTTCAGATGAACAATTCTTTAATCAAATCAAATGCACAGAGTATTGATAAAGTCTTTCAACTGTATTCGATTGATTGTACGATTGAAATGATCAGCAAGAAGCTGAATATCATTACTTTCTGACACGTGGTAAATATTCAATTTCATTCTAACTTCATTACGAATTCAATTGAGACTCAAGTAAACATAACTGAAAGTATTTTAGTTACGATAATTGTGAAGTTAAATATTCTAATCACTCAGTCGTTTCGTGACTTCCGCACGTATCGTAATCGAGTGTTGACATTGCAGGAACATGAGCTAAGACGCTCAGAAGCAGCGTTGGAAAACATTGAACTAATAGCGTGGAAAATAAAATCTTTCTCAGTTTTCGTGTAATGAACTCTAAAAATAGATTCATTCGAAAATATTTCTATTTGGCCTCGTCTACACGATTAAAATATTTCATTTCACATTATATATTATTCGAATGAAAACATTTCATTCGTTTTCGAAAAATTCCACTTCATTTTGTATTATACTATCCAAATTGTTTTAGACACTGCTTCTTAAACTACTTTTTATTTAATGCTTTGAACACTAATTAAAACACTTCTCCCCAGATTCTCTATTTAATAATAATTACTAACAACTACGAATCCTGTCTAAAGCAAACCGAGATCATTTTCTTCAAACTCCAAACACCGAACCTTGCGAATCGTGAACAGTACAACTACCGAGTCAAATTCACTTTCTGAAATTTTTCTATAGAAACTCTAAGAATACGTTTATCTAATTTACAATTGTGTTCGCGTATCATTAAATTTCCTTCGCAATTTTCAGAGAATCATGTTACCTTCTCAATGACTGCAAAAAGAAATCAAGAACGAGTCATTTCGAAGACGAGTCCCCAGAAGAATTAACGTTCGTTCGTTTAGATCTAGGAAATTAGACGTTCAAAAATAAACAATCAACGCACGCATTCGCATACTCACATGAAATCAACGTAAACATTAACCTAATAATGTTTGTGAAACTTAACACCAGATTTACAGACATTACCGTAAAATTTATACTGTCCCTATAACAATATTCGTTCGTTTAGATCTGAGAAATTAGACGTTTAAAGACATGACACATCATTCTGAACCAAATATCGTAATAACGCATAATTGCATCAATCAAAATCCACCGGAAAGTTACCCAAATGTCGTCTATAAAATTCAATATCACTGAAATTAGCTCGTTCAGTGAATCTAGCGTTAACACACGTCGAATCCGCGAATCTATCGTTAACCAATCTTGTTCACCATGTGACGAGAACCGCAAAGCTACCGCTCGAAGTGTCAACAAAAACCCAACCAGAAATTATTCGAAACGTTTGCTCTGTTGAGTTTTGAGATTCTCGCGAGAAATAATTTGAACGAAAAGTTCGCGGAATGGAATACCTGTTGCAGTGTTCCGAGTGTTTTCAGACGATTCGCGAAACGCAATTGCAACCGCTGTGATTCCGAATGCACTCGATGCGGCTGCCTGGCACAGCGAAGCCGTGACAACTGAGCGCAGCTTCGTTACCGTTTGACTTTGACCCCTATTCTCCCTCTTTTCGACGCTCATTGATGGTATCTCCTTCTTTTAGCTTCGATACGGATTTCAGGCCGAACGGCACGCGTAATAACGAGCCCGGCTCGAAGGGATGCACTACTCCCACGCTATTCAGCGAATGATAATCTCGCGTAGGGATGGGAATGACACTCTCGCGATCACAGTTCGACGAATATTTAGAAGGCAAGCTGTCCTAGACGAGAATCACCGACGTTCGATGCTAACACTAAAACTACCGAGCAGTTAAACTGACCTTTTCAAACTCCTTTATATAAACTCCAAGAGTGCATCAATTAAGACTTTAACTGATTACCAATTTAGTTTGCGCATTGCTACATCAGTTTCTTCATTATTTTCTTAGAGGAACAGCTGTTATCTTTTTAACACTATTCCTACGACACTCCACGTATACCTATTCCTACCGCGACCAGTTAAATGACTGGTCTTTAGCACAACTTATATTTTTTAATATAGAATGAAGATAATAGCCAATTTGACAGTATACAAATATAGTTTCTTTTATTTAGAAGTATATAATTTATATTTTATTCGGTTTCACCGCATTTTTTACAAATAGGTTTGTCGATTGCACATTTCCCAAACACGTACTTTTTACATTTTAGACAGATTTTGTTAGTCTTATTGTTTATGCAATATCTTATTTGGCATGGTTTCCGTTCGGGTGAGCCTTTACTTGTATTTGTGACGAGTGTTGCTTAATTTTCTTTGCCTAACTCTAGCTCTTTTTGATATTCAATGGCAAGTTCTTCTGCCAATTGAAATAAAAATTCCTGCCTCGAAATTTCTTCTCCCGTGGATTCTTTATATAAAATCCATGCATTTATCCTGGCTAAATCTAGGATATTGAAAAATACCTGTAAAGGAGATCTCCGACATTTACATTTTACCGATTTACCGAGGCCGATAGGCGAGCGAGAACTGTAAACACTTGGAAGTACCGTAAAGCAGTCCCTGAAAGGCACTTTTTGGCTAAAATCATGCCACAACTGCATTACCTTTCGTTTGTAACGACTTTATAGTTTCGGAATTGAGTCTTTGAGAGAATACTATTACAAAAAGATGTAAATCGTTCTACCGGTCAAATGACCGGTCGTGTTAGGTAAGACAGGCTACAAACTTTTTTCAGAAAATAAACAATAAAAAAAGGTGTGAATATTGAAAAATATTTTATATATATATTTTAGGAAAAGTCTATAGGAAATTCTAATCGAAATTTTAAAAACAGTTATTTGACTGGTCGCGGTAGGAATAGTGTTAATAATTGCGAAAAGAAGAAATCAGGAATGAGTAATTTTGACCCGTCTGGTAGTTTTAGTGCTAAACGCATCGGAACCGGCTGGTTGAAAAATTCGATTGATGATTCTGCGTTTTCACCCGTTTAACACTACCCGACGAGTGAAATTGACTTCAGAATTGTTCAGTATTGAAATGAATTATGTGAGTATTTCAATTATGAAGCCGATTTGTGAAAGATTCTGAAATTTGGTAAGAATTTAATAAACACATATATTATTTAGTTTGTTTGGATGCAAGTTACACATTATTCCTCTGTTATCAACGATTATACCTTAGAGCACGCGTTGACATAGGATAAGATTGGAATTTTCTCTTATTTTCAATGAATCATTAATAACGAAGTAGTTAGATCGATCACAGTCCAGAAAGAAATCACAAGACAAGGGGTTAAATCGAATGCAACGGGTTGAATACGTAAGAAACGATACAAACAACAAATCACGCGAAACAATTGAAATAAAGGCACAATCTGTAGTAAGGATATTTTAAATTTGACCGTGATTGCGGTCACGATAATGGTTCGCAGTGGTGGGTGTCGCGGCTTGTCTCGAACGTCTAGTTAACGGAGTTCGTTAAGCATTGGCGGAGTTTTGCTCCCAGCTTGAAGGGCTTTGGTCATGTTGCCTCGTTAGAATTCTAGTTTTGTCGTGGACAGCGTTCCACGCTTTGTTCCGAATAATGCTGGCCGTTTCGGCCGGAGGTGTTGTCGCAGCGCGCGTTGACGCGATGATTTTCGTAATCGGGGCTGGACTGGTCATAGGAAGGGCGCGCCGAAAGAGGGTGGCTATGTTTAGGAACTGCGCGCCGGTCGCTCCAAATGCTAATGGCCAACGGAACAAACGTTCGGTAGCTTTAAATCGATATTGACCTCTGATCAACGGACATTCGACCATTTAAAACGATGAAATCTGATCAGTCGCAGAACATACTCGTTACGTCAGAGATTCGTAATTTCACAAGATTCAAATTGAGCTTCCGTTCTAAAGAAATACATTTAGTAACGAAATTTGGTAACTTTGGTTAGGCTACTTTAATATTGCACAGTAAAACATTAATATTATATGAATTGAATAATGAGATTTTAATAATTACTGCACTGATATAATTACATTAATGATATCATTATTATATTGCTAATAATTGCTTATCAAATGAAATATTATCAACTTTATTATAGTAAAATTGTATCTATTATATTAATTACAATTGAATTCCTGTTATTAACACGTTGACTGCCACAGTGGTACCGTGGTATATATATATATATATACTGTACAACCAAAATATTAATAATTATATTTAATAGTATTTTTCTCTATTATAAAGGAATAAATCTTACTATAATAAAACGCTCGAAATTCTCGTGACAGTCAACGTTAAACACAAATTTAGGAATATATTAATCCTTTACAATGAACATTCGTCCTGTTCGTTTACAGTACTGACTATTCAAGAACACTAATAATTTATCGAATAGTCGGTAACACTAAGCAACCATTTGTAATAAAAAAGAACTGACGAATTGGATGTAATTTTATTTTCTGCGTTAGAAGTACTTTACAACTTTCTTTCATCTACAGTCAAACCTGTTTTTGTGCGGTCCCTTTCTATGCGATTTTTATTTGTGCGATTCTTTTTATGCGGTATATGAATTCCAACGATGTTCTTCAAATGACGAAACCGACTTCGAACCAGTTCATCACAAAAAGCGCATTTTGGACTACGAGTAGCAGTGAATTATATCCATTGTGAAAATTTCTCCATGTATGAGAAATTGAATTTTTCTAAAATGATTCCATGTATAATTTAATTATTTATTTTGTTTGAATGCACTTTATTGTATTTCGTAAATTTCTGAACATTCCTTTTCGTGCTGTTTCTTTTATGCGGTCCCTATCTACCGCACAAAAACAGGTTCGATTATATTTCTGCTTTCCCGAAGTGCTAAACGCTAAACGGATGGCACAGAGGACGATGGCCTGCTAATAAACAGAAGTTCTCTTGGTTTCCGCAGAACACGGCCGCGTACAACGTGAAGGAGCAAAACGAGAGACTGACCGATATCGAAGACATGGATTCACTGGGCATGGGCATCAACGCGAGAACGGCACCGCCGTTGTGCTACGGAAGGAACATGACATTCCCGCGGCCGGCGTCGTCCTGCGCGCACAGACACGAGCTTCCGGCGATAGTGACCGAGGGCGAAAGCTGCAGGCTCCTCGCGGAGGTAAGAGAATACCTGTGCAACCGTCGTCGTTAACACGTTGACTGCCACGGTGGTCACTGATGACCGGAGCTGCTAAATTGCTGAAGAATAATTACAATAAAAAACTTGATTTTAACACATTGAGCGCCGGCGACCTAAGAGACATTTAACTCTTAGCACTCCAGATGGTTTTGTAATCTATTGGCAACTGTAACGAATTTTCATGGTATTCCTAGCAATAATGAGAAATGCTGTAACATTTTTTCGATCTTTTATTTTCCTTCTTAGTACAAAATTTCGATGTGTGGAAGATCTAATAATTTTAGAGTAGTTTCTTTAAGATTCAATAAAATATTTAATATTATAACTGGTGCAATATTGAAGCTTACAGAGTTCAAAGGGTTAAAGCCTGAGCGCCGGCAACGTATCGGCCACTTAGCCTAAACGTCGGCCTCATTTGCTTGTATCTGATCAATGAGTAGCCAAAAAAAATATTCAAAACATCATACATTTTAATTGCATATTCGTCATATACAATTTAACGGAAATCCAGAAATCCGCATTATTGCGGGGCCGGAGCTGAAGCAATAGACTCAGAATTCTGCGTTTTCACGGGGCCGGCGCTCAATGTGTTAAATAAACATATTTAGTAACATAAGTAGGTAGATCATAGCGTAACATGACTGCTGTGATACTAAACCATTAATAAATATTTTCATTCGCCTTTGTTATTAAAGAATAAGTATTACTATTCAAAACACTAGAAATTCTCGTAGCAGTAAACGTGTTAACCCTTTGCGGTCCGAAATGCTCTTGGTTTCTCACTTTGAGGTTCACGCCGACGTTACTTCATTCAGTTACAGCTTAATATGACGCTCTATTTATTTATTCAAGAATATTTGGGAGTCATTGAAATGTTACCTTTAAATGGTACAATTGTGATGCTACAAATAAATATAGAAAAAATTGTTAAAACAGGTAGTGGTTGCAATAAAATAGAATGTCGAGTCTGACTTGACGTAGAACTGCTAAAGGTTAACGCTAAACGCAGGTTGTATGCACCAATTCCTACCGTAACTAGTCAAATAATCGGTTACAAAATGAAAAGTGAACAAGTGAGAGGCAGCACATTTCTTTTAGTGAAAACAGGAACAAACGGGAAGAAAAGAATGTTTTTAACAGGTTGAATGTTGCACGATTTCAGACGGTAAAATACACGAAATGAAAAAAATATAATATTATATCATTTGATTGAATTATTGTTATTATTGCACGGTGATGTAGCTGGATGTAACTGTGTTGGGTAGCATTATTTGTAATGTGGAAATGTTTTCAAGTATTCATCGTTTAATTGAGTGAGGTATAATAATTCCATTTGGTTGGGGGTCACTGGTGACCCCATGGCATTCAACGTGTTAAGGTGTTAATAATATCAATAATATTAAGGTATCAGTGATAGTTGATAAACAGAAACAAAGGGAAGAACAACAATTTTTGTTTAATAGAAACAGAAACAGAGGGAAAGATTGCAATGTTGTTTAATGGAACAAACAGAGGGAAAGACGAAAATAGAAAAATGGTTGATCCGATACTATAGGAATTGATGTAGAATTAAATGAACGAAAGAATGGGGTTAATTGGTCACTTTAATCCGAGACGCGAAAGAAACCTAATCGATTCGGAGTCGCGAGAAGATTGCAAGGATCCGCTATTTTATTGTCACCGGTAGAAAACGCTTTTGCAACTGGCAAAAGGATCTTGCGACATTTAAACAAGATTGATTGCCTTCTGACGAATTAATTATACATTAAGTGAATCTGTGAAGGATACAGGAAATCAGTGTAATGGATAATTATCCATGGCACAGTTTCAAATAGTAATCTTAGTACTCTATGAGATTCGAAACGTTTGCACTCCTAATGTTCTCAGAAATCGCTGTGGGGTCGCGCGTTAACTCGGTCTCAATTCCACCGAGCCATTTTAGAATGATCTGTCTAGAGTCATTGTACGACTCATCAGCTATCACAAATAACTATTCAAGGATAAATTCATTTGACTTTTAATGGTGGTGATTGAATCACACGATTACCCTAATATGATTTATATATATTTATATATTATGTATATATATAATATAATATATTGTATTTAATATTTAATATTTAATTTAATAACTATCCAAAGCTAAATTCGTTTCTTTTTTAACGATAGAGATTGAATCACACGATTACCCTAACATGATTTATACATTAAATTAAATATTAAATATTAAATATGATATATAATAACACATAATATATTATATATATAACAATATATTATGTATTATATTATTGTATATAATCATGTTATGGCAATCGTGTGATTCAATCTCCACCGTTAAAGAAGAAATGAATTTATCTTTGGATAGTTATTTGTGACAGCTGATGAGTAGAATAAACCCAGTGCAATTGAAGTCACTGAACGTAGCCTCCTTATGTTAATAGAAAATTATAAAGAGCAGTTATTTCAAATACTCTTTTCCGTTTCAGCAACAAGAAAGTAACTCTTGTAGCGATGGACAGTTATCTGGCGTGATGCCAGACGTAGCAATGGCAACAGCCTCCTTTGGAGCCTTGCAGCTGATAGAGGAGCAGGAGCTGGAGCTGGACCTCGGCGACGGAACCTCCCATCTTCTGCAGCACGTATCGCCATCCAGTGGAACCATGGGATCGCACAGATCCTCGCTGCCACATCAGCATCAGAGGCATTTCTCTGGACCGCCTCCTCCACCGTACATGTACCACCGTGCTGGCACTGCCTTACCAAGATATATATAAGATTTCTAACGAAATAAGAAGTGTATAGTAAACTTGGACCCCTACTAGGAGTTCTTTTCCCGAATGAAAGTAGACTCACCAGGTGTACTCTTCGTGTACTGCCATGGTTGCTCTGTAAACACGCGAGAGTTTTAGGTTCGGTACAACCGTGGACGCGTGTCCGTTTGCATAAAGTGTTTGCTTCGGTTACTTTGTAAAAGAACGCTAGCAGAGTGCACACTTTATGCGAGCTCTTTTGTCTACAGCGATTGAATATGATTGGCAGTTAGGGCTCCCGTATTTAGCGATGATACTTTAACGTTGAGACCAGCCGAGACCACAGTATACTTATATTAGTTATCGCTAGACTGCGGATCAATACCATAGCTAATCGAGGGTTCCGTCGAGTAATAAGCTACAGAGTTCAATAGCGAGTGTAACACAGTTCTAGGTTAGAATTTATCTTCCAACAGTAACTACTGCAAGAAGTAACAATCCCACTGAACAGTATTTTTCCAAAAATTCGACTGTACAAACGAGGATTACCGTGAACGTCCGCAGTCTGGCCCGCATCACCCTCACGATATTATTATGCTACTCGAATTTCTTTACTGTATATATATATATAATACGCGCGGAGGGAAGATCTCCCGTCTGTTAAGAGTTTGTAAAGGTAAAAAGAACAGTTTTCCGTAGGATCTGTAGAATTTCACTGCCACTGATCATTCGAAACGGCGCTGAGCATGAAGCGCAACGGCCTCCGATGATCAGCATCATTGTGTTTCCATTCTCGATAGCCGCCGTGGTGAACACGGGGATGCACTTAACCGGAGTCTTCTGCGTCTAGGTGAAACTACTCGCGGGTACAAATTCCACGGAACGGGCGCACACTGGGGTCACACCGCCCCGTGTTGTAAATTTTATTTAAAGCAGCTTAACGAAAGTAGAGGACCCACGGTTTCCAGGATGTATTTGTAATCATGCCGGGATCGGGGGGCGCACCTCGTCGAAAGTTCATGCTTATTAGGTACAATCACATTATAGATGTAACTTAACTAGGTGCATACGCGTGCAGCTGTGGTTTATATGCGTGTATGCGTGGACGATGCGTGCGAGTGTATGTACACGAATCCGCGTGCTCTCTAAGTACCATATAAAGTGTTAAAATTAGACAATGTTGCCGGCGTTTCACGAATGAGAGAGAGAGAGAGAATGGAAGA